AAACACGCGGCTGCTCTCTGATTGCAGGGCGAGGAGGCAATACGGATTATTTTTAGGACTGAAATATGAATAATGACGCACATTCTCAAAATGAGATTGGCAGTCAATTGAAGTAGTTTTTTCGACCCAGCCGCCCGCGGTGAGATTTCAGTCTGCTCTCCTTCATCCTCCCTCCATCTATCCAGGGCTGCTATTCCGAGAGCCGTTTTGGGGTCGAACCATCGGAGCGACCGGGAGAGAGAGAGAGAGAGACACACAAACGATGACGCTATGCCGCTGGATGTTTGCCATTGGCCGGGGTCAGCCGATGGCGCACCGCAAACAGAAGAGAGTCCTCCCCTCTGCTGTTCTTCTGTAATTGCGGTTAGCCTAATCCCCCCCTCGCACCCCCTCGCCGCCCCCCCCCCCTCCCACCGAGCGCTTCCTGGCGGTGAGAAAGAATAAGTCTGGCATTCAACCGGCCGCTGATGAGCAGCAAATGAAAACTGAGTCACCAGGCGGTGAGATTAATGGGGGGAATGAAGAAGGACGCCTTGGAGCGCCGGCGTTCCGGGTGTCAGGGGAGCAGAGGCCGTCGGGCTCCGGCGTCGCGTTCCAGCAGAACGAGAGGCCTGCGTCATGAAGGAGGCGAGTGAAACGTATCCCGGAATGAAATGTGACAGGCGGCTCCTCCTCCTTGATCTGCGGCTTTTGAAGGCTCGTCGTCTCAACCAGGTTCCCTCTCATCATAACAGCGATGGACGTCATTGTGTCCTCCCTTTTTTTTTTTTTATACGTACGACTGTTTCTGCATCTTTCTATCGACATATAAATAAGCTGTCATTACCTTGACATGAAAAAACTAAATGACAACTCGATAAAACAGCATGAGTCTAAATACAAAAAAAATGAGTGTGAAGTAGAACTGGAAGTCATTGTTCCTCTTTAGGCAACAGTCTTTTTATAGTTCCCTTACATTATAGTTTGGCCTAATTGGTCAAAGACAAAACGACACCAGAGAGTGTTACAGCGTGACATGATTGTGCGAGTTGAGGCTCCCACGACCACATAGACAACATCACATTCACATGTTGCGTCTAAAAGCGCCTGCAACACAACCTCCCCTCTTTCTCCACGGCGCTGAGGTCACGCTACTATCGGGCCTGCTGTTGCTTGGCAACCGGCGCCTGCGCGTCGCGATAACCCCGATAAAGTCCCGTTGGTTTGGCGGTAAGCCTCGCTGACTGAATCACGTCAAAGCAACAGTACGTACGATCACAGCGCCGTGACCCCCGCTGTGATTGGTGGTTCCTCGTCATGTGGCAAAGGTTGAAATCGTATTTACTGCTCGCACATCTGGGTCATCGTCGAGGTAAAGTTTGCCGACTGCATCTGGCGAGATGTACACGCGTCGCAAATCACAACTTGTTCCTCAAAAGCCGCTTTTCTTATAACCGTGAAACGTGTTTCCAGTTCATTCCAATCCATTCGCTCGTTGTGAAGTGCAGCAGCCCGATGGATCCGAAGGGCCCAAAACGTGTTTCAGACTAATAATGCGGGTGTTGCCTTTACGAAAGGAATCAATGACTCTTGCTGTTTAAGACACATTCTTCCAGTCTGAACGTTACAAACTTACTATCAGGCTCCCCAGCTCGTCCTCCTTTGTATCAACGCTCCTGACAGTGAATGAACGAACGCCCCCCCCGGCATGCTGCTGGATTATGGATTGGGCTTTTTAATAATCAATGACAACACAGTTGTCGCTACAGATTAGCGGCATAATCCCCCGTCTGCTCTGACTTACTCTTTACACTGTAACTCTCTTTGCGTCGATAAAGTGAAAAAAGCCCTGGCTCAACGCGGCTGGGGCTAATGTTTGTCACCATAATGCCCCCCTCTTACCCCCACTTACCCCCCCCTCCCCGTGTCTGAACTGCTTTGCGGATTTCAATCAAGGTGCTTTTTTTTCTTGTCTTTTTTTTAAGTGACATTCTGGTGAAGGATCTTGACCTTTCGATCAAACTGATGAAAAAGATTGTCTGGCAGTTGTTCCACAGTTCCCTCCATCTCCCAGACACCTTGTGCTACATGCTGAAGCCCCCCCCCCCCACCAACCCCAATCCCATTTACATTCTCTCCATGTTTATTTAGTCGAAAAACGCTGCCATCTCTCCCCTCTTCCCAGCGCCGCCGCCCGGGCCGGGTGGAGACGAGCGGCGCTCCGGGGGGCCGCGAGTGCGACGCTGTGATCGCGAGAGACGGAGGGCAATCACAGCTGTGATGTACTTTATATACGGCGACTCGGTGGGAAAGGCTCCTTTTTTCGCCGGCAAAGCTCTGAGCGAGAGAGATTGCGGCTGGATCGGCAGCCAGGATTTACCGGCCGAGGTTCGCAGAGGCAATCTTTTTGGAGAGTGAAGAAAACCAAGTTTGACCCAGTTGTTCAGCTTTTGAGGATTCCCGCGATGAAGCTCCTCAGCCAGTCCACGTTGTCTCAAAGGGGAAATGATCTCATTTGATCTCACGTTGCGTCTCATTGTCCACCAGCCTGAACGAGATCTGCTTTGGTCCCAATGGACGGGTGGGTGTGAAAGGGTGAAAGGCCGATGGTAGGTCTGTTTACCACTTATTTTATCATATTGTTTCATTATTATATAACAAAGACACAAATATACCTTCATGATGTGGCGGCATATTACAAATTGGTGGCCTGATACATCAATGCAATGCTGCAGCAAACGCTGCAGTCACTGATATATACGACAGAAGAAAATCAAGTATGATTCCCCCCGAGGTTTGTTCCTTATTCTTAAAGGTCAGGCAATTAGTGATCCAGCTCAGCTCAGCAGGGAGTCTGTTCCTGATTGATTCCCGACAGTCCACACTCGCTACATACGTTCTGCACCACCAACACCCTTCCGCCTCCTGATGTGATAGCGTGCAAGGTCACAACCGTAAAGACGACGCCAGGAGGCTCCTGGCTAAGTGAGCGCGGCGCAGCATTGATTTTGAAACCACACAAAGCGCGGCTGCCTCTGTGGTTTCGTGTGTTGGCCGGGTCCGATCGCTCGGCATCGCGTTGCCGCGGTTCTCAAAGGTGGCCAGGTGTCGCGAACATCCCCCTCCCGCCCAACCGCCATCACACCCGCAGCTCCCACCGGATTTATTCACTCTCAGACGTGAAGCGCTCAGTCGGCACGAGGCAAGATGGCGAAAAAACTTCCGGAGGTTTTTTTTCCGAAACGGTACCTCCATTTGTTGCCTGTCTGAACATTGGGGCGGGGGGGGGGGGGTAGCCTGTATGTTGGGCTTCCGCCGTTGTATAAGAGCAGTAGAGCTCAAATTTGTGTTACAGGCATTTTGCATAAACCACTCGCTGCTGTAGTGGAATTGAATTGTTCAGGGTTGTTTTTTTGATCAGCTCGTTAGTCCACTGAAGACCAGTGTCTGGTTCAATCATGAGGAGGTGCGCCGCCGGCCCCCCACCTCCACCACCACTCCGCGCAATTAGCTCAAGATCTGTCACACGCGCCCGGTCCCAAAATAGCTCAATCATGCTGCACACAGGCGTCTGGAATAAAATCCATTTTGGGGTGATTTAATGAAACGTCTCGTCCTCGTACCTCTCGTCCCAATTAGAAACAAGCCGCTGTGATCACAAGGGTGGGAAATTATTTAGAAAAAGAACAGCCTGGGTGGAAGTGTTCCTCTTCGATCGCTCCCCCTTTTTTGAGAAGTGAATGTCAGTGGAAGTTTGTTAGCGCAAAGGTTAACGCCGCCATTAGGATTCAGCCCGCGGCCCGTCTCAATTTATTCCCAACGCCGCGTTGCTCATTTAATCGAACCGATCCATATTTAGGGCGGAGGCGAGATTTTGATTCGGAATAACGGCGTTTCTGATGAGGCGCGCTGAGCTCGTCGCCTTTGTCTTTGACTTGCACGGTCGGCCATCAGCGGCGTGCGGAGCGTCAACCTCCTTCCCACGAAACCGACTTTCTCGATAAATAAAAGCCACCGCCCCACGTCCCGGCCTGTGGACGTAAAACAACAACACTCGTCAGCCTGATGCTCGTCTCAGGCGGGGGGGGAGAAAACCGCCCCCCCCTGCACTCTGTCTCCACGGCGTCTCACCCACTGATGAACGGCTGGAGGTGGAGGACCCATGTTGTGGCTTTGCGATGAGGCAATCTGTAACCTTCTGCAAGAGAAAACAATGGCAGTTCATTTTATTGCGATGGGTCTCCGGGGACACGTCGGCACGGCTGCTGCGTCGTACAGCGAGGCGCCGCGGCCCGGTGATAAATCCGTAGATGCTGATGCTGCGGGGGAGGGAAGGCGGAGGGGCGCTCACTCTTTAATGGCCCGTGTGCCGTTTGCGGCTCGATTTGGATGCAGAGTTTGAAACCGGCGACTTATTGTACCGAGTTATGAGCGCAAAGCCGGGGACTATCATCGCCGCTGCCTTGCGAACGTCCTGCGGGTCTGCGGGGAGCCGGCGGTTGAGCTTTTAGCAGATCTGTGTGTGTGTGTGTGTGTGTGTGTGTGTGTGCGCTCAAACAGCATCACATTAGCCGGATGGATAACGCTGTAGCAGAGCAGCGGAGTTACTTTTCCAGAGATCCATCTACAGCCTGATTTGTATCAAAAGCTGGTTATTTCTTCTGTCCCAGTGCGTCCATTTCTGTATCGCGCTGACACGCTGGAAAAAACATTTAACAGTGATGCGAATGCGACAGGTGCCAACAAATGTATCAGTTCACCAGTGGACTTTAGTTTTATTTACTTATTATTATTATTTTTATTGCTTTGATTGGTACCTTAGCTGGGATCGGAAAAATCCCCTCACCCATTACGTTCCTTTGGACATTTCTTGATCGCAAAACCTTTTTTTGTTTTCTTCAGCCGTTCCCTTTAAACGGAGATGACCATGAATAACAGAAACTTGTCAATAAACCACAGCTATGTGAATCCCAGCTTCCTTCACGCTTCAACATATTCTATATGCTTCCTATTGATTTCAGACGGACAGCTGCCGTCCAACCGGGTCCTTGGAAGCAGAAGGGACTAATTAGCATCTTGGGAAATGAGGACGTCTCTTCCTGGTAAACTGGCTGCTCGGTTTGAAGCTGTACTTCCATGTTGCATTCCAGTTTCAAAGTCAGAGCAGAAATGATTTGCAAACATTCACTGGTTCTAGCTTTTGAAATGAGAATATTGTTTTTCCTGAGTCTGTCTACAGACGTTTGGACTGTTTGGACGGACAAAATGAGACAAACAGTATTGATTTTTTTTTTGTTTTCCGATATTTTTCTGAAGTGCCTTGAAGCTGCATTCTTTCGAACAACCATCAGGGGGCGACTCCTCTGGTTGTATAGAAGTCTAATGAAAAAATTACTTCTCGTGATTTATTCCTTCAGTTAACATTGTAAACTTTCGGTTCAACTCTTCTTCAATACAGCAGGATGTTCACTAAGTAAACTATGATCCTTTTTAGAGTCAAATATATAAATTCAAATAAAGCTTTAAGGCGAGGCCATGAATCATCAACGTTACTCGTTTTTTGATTCTCCTCTACTCCATGAAGGTTTTAAAAAATAAAGGTTTACAATCAATATATATACATGACATACAGTCATTTTAGTGTTGAACGTTGAAGGTGGTCTAGCTGTTCTCCTTCCTATAACCGAGTGAACTCGTATGCCGTGTGTAGCCCGGTGAAATAGTCGGGAGGTGAAAGCATAACAGAAAGTAGTTGCCGCCTGAGCCCAATCTGCACTTATTGTTTTGGTTCACTATTATTCAAGTGTTTTAATTGGCCGCCCGCCGGCGCCCATCCAGCTGCGTTTTTCAGCGACCGTCATTACTGTTGTCAGTGTTTAGTTGGTTAACGAGAGCACTCAAGGTACCTCTCTGAACTCGACCCATTAGCGATGTGGTGCAAGGAATCAACAGCGACTCGTGTTCCTCTTTTGATACGTCCGTGAGGGCCGGAGGGCATTGAGGCCAATGTGTCCGACCAAGGTTACATGGTAATGTCCCAGCCAGCATCGGCAGTGTGATGAATGTTGATCATGGACGTGCTGATAATGAGGAGTGAAATTTCATTCTGGAGTTTTTCTCACCTGGTGGGTGCTTTTCTGCTTTGTCGTTTCTTTTTTTGTATCGATATTTCCCCCTCAAAACGCCGCAAGAAAATTCCTAATTTCCACGTTAACGTCTTTGCAAATAGGATGTGTCGCTGGGGGTTTTGAAAAGTCACTGATGTGTCGTCACTATGCGCGTTTAGAACGCGGTCTGCAGAGCGATGTTGAGGAGCAGAACCAAAACGCTATATTGTCTGGCTCATTGACCCCCCCCCCCTCCACCCTCCACCCAAAACCACAATATGCTCCTTTTTTTTGGTCACACACAAAATAATGAGCAATGGAGAATATCTTCCTCACAGCGTTGAAGTGAGTCGGCAGAGGAAGAGACAACTTAGTCGACAGACGAGATAGAGGGGGGAGGGGGGGGGTCGCCCGTGGAGAAAGGGCGTTCTGTTTGTGCACACCGCTCGCTCCATGCATACATGAATACAGATAGCGAGGTGAAATCAGCGCTGATAACCGTGGCCTGGCACAACACGTTGGTGCTAATCAGTACCCTCAGACGCCGTCCGAGGGCTGCGTGTAGAGCGGCCTCACACACACGCACACACACACACACACACACACACACACACGCAGTCTACCCAAACAATCACTGCCTGGTGTTTCCTTTCCCAATTGCTTTTTCTTTATACATTCAGGGAGCCATTCCAGCGGAAGGATGTTGTTTTGCATATTGACAACTTTGGCTCTGGGTTATTCTCGCCGGGCATATGTCATCTTTAAGACACTCGTTTTTTGACAAAGTGCAGCAATTTAGGTATTTAAATGAAAATCGACCTGGATCCGAGTTGGGGCCGTCGATTGGAGCCACTCGTCTCAAGTCAAGAGAAAGGTTGATGGTGGGAGAATTATAAAGGTGACAGACTGGGCACACTGGGGCATATCTTTTTTGCTTCATCAATTTTAATGCCAGTCGAAGGAGGCAGGTCTGATGCATACAAAAAAAACTTTAGACAAGGAATCATATCTGCTGTAGAAAAGCTACAGCCACTTTTACAGCCATTTCAGTTGTGTATTGATTCTGTTAAATGTTGCCTATTTTTACTGATACACACGATTAATCAATTTGCTTAATGTAGGATGACCAATGAAAAATCCAACTGTCAAAATATTCAATTATACCCTCATATTGATATATTTATTCCTTACAACGTTGTCTCGTCATTTTTCTAAACAGAAAACGCAGCGTTTGTTTTCCGCTCAATAAGTAAAAGCAATTTCAAGAAAGGGGATTTGAAAAATCCCGCTTGTTGAACAAAGGTATTCTCGGTAGTCAAAGGGGGCAAGAACTAACGCTCTAGACTTTAATTCTGCCTGGCTGACCTTTTACCAAACTTTCCCCATCTCTGTGTCATCGACTGGCCCTTTTTAAATATTGCGATAATTTGTGCTACAAAAATAGCAGCAGCTGTTACTTTGAGTCAAGCTCCGGTTCTACAAGTGAAAATGTCTTTCGCTTGTCGATTGGAAACAGTTTGGCAATTCCTACTTTAATGGCGCGTTTCCACCGACCAAGTAAACATTAATTCACTGACCCCGAAATGGACCGCGGCTCCCCGAACAGCTGTTTGCCGCTAGTTGGCCTTGGACTTGCTCGCAACTGGCCGGCGAGTTAGCTCGTTAGCGTTTTAGCTTGTTGTGGCTGCTAATGTTGGATACAAGGATACAATGTTTACTGGGGGAATAAATCTTGCAAAATTCCACTGGCTGACTTAAAATCGCCCTACCTGCAGCAGTCTGTCGCATAAGACCCGCCTGTGCGACTTTCATCAGACGAGCGTTATGCTACGTGACGGGCGTGTGGCCCTGACACATGGCGGAGCACTTTGAAGTGCCTCTGTTTTAAAAATGTGTCAGAGACGGAAGAACTGTGTGAATGTAGATCAGAATACATTATAGATGATCTGCGGTGATCAAACAGAGTGACGGTACAAAAGGGGGAGTGAGGGGGGGGGGACAGGATGCCAAACCTTCTTTCATTCACACCACTGATTAAGCGCTCGCCGCGCATATGTGGAGAAGGAAGGGAATCACTCACGCCCGAGTGCACCCGCTGCCACTCATCCGCCGTCAGCCTCATGAACACATGTTTAGCTTTCATTGCAGCGACGCATCAGCCCCCTTTGGGGGGGGGGGGGGGGGGGTCTGGCATTTCCACGCTCCGCGGCTGTTCCCGTGAAATTCCCTAATAAGCCGCTCGCTGAACGTCAATCAGGCTTTACCTGAGCAAGGTGCGACAGCGAGATTTCACAGGGATTTCTTCCCCCGCCTCCCCCTCCTTGTTCTTCTGCTCCCCCCGCTCACTGATTTCACAGCTGTTGTTCTTAATTTTCTCCCCGGGTATTCCGCGAGGATCCATCTGCTGCCACTGAGAGCGAGGGAAGAAACGCCATCACGTGATGTAACCGTGGATACCTTCGTGGAGATCACTGCGACGGACACATTTGTCCTGAAGTGGCTCGTACGTGACATTTCTTCTCTATTTGGGCGGTTTTAAGGCACGGTAGTAGTTTTCAGACCGGTCGAAATCACGCTTTATACTTACGTTTCCCCTTCCGACTGATTCCGAAGTGGCTTTTCCACAATATTGTACAAACACATTATCAATATGAACATCTTAGGCTGCAGAACCACCTAAACGACGCACTAACTGAATGTTTAGTTCGTCTCCTGCTCCTTCAGGCGTTGGCAGGAGACATTAGGCTCTTGTTTAGCTAATTTTACAATGCTCATGTTCGCCCTGGTGGCTCAAAGTGGAGCTGATGGCCGGTATCGACTCGCGTACGCGGCGCTCCCTGCGACGCGGCCAATAAGTCGGTGACCATATCCGAGCATGTTTGTCTTCCTCTCGATGGAAGCAGATGGAGAAGAAAGGCGCACCAATTTTTCTATTTGGGCCCTTTGAACAATAGGAGCTCTTTTCTTTCTTCTCTTGAGCTTTTGTTATTTCCCTTTTTCTCCTGTTGGTGCCGTGGGCAATTTGCTTTTTGTCTGCGTCCAAGTACAGATTATTCCCTCTCAGAATAACGTTGTTTGCTAAGCAGTGGCAGAGCTGTCCTCTTTCCACTCTGCTACAGACGTCCTTCTATTCCTCTGGCTGTGTTTCTCTCATCTGAGAGGGGTTAACGACAGCTATAATCCTATTGATCCAGAAATCTGATCCCCCTACTAATCCCGCAACAGGAAAGTTGCACACTGCGACTCGCCGACGGAGCCGGCGGCGACTGCTCCTAGCGCGGCGCTCGCCTGAGAGACACGGGACGTCCAGTACAGCGTCGACCACAAAGAGGAAGTGCTTCATAAATCCGTTATTTGTTTCCTCCTGCGGAGAACGTGTCTTCTATTGCAACGCGCGGTTCTTGTGGACTCGGCAAGACGGGGGAGGAGAAGATGAAAGACGGAGACATCGGGGGGGGGGGGGGGGACTTTTCCTTCCGCTTCCCGCTATCTCTCAATTTCTCCCCCTCAGGTTGGCGGGCTGTTAATTCTCTCGCTGCACCTCGTCTCCATCTCCGGATCCCACTTCCAGGGACGTGGTTACGCTTGTCTTTTGGATTTGATTAACAGAATGAATGATTAGAATTTGGCTTTGTCCACGTTGGGGGGGGGGGGGGGCACACTACAACAGCCTGCCTGGTCTTGATCCAATATATTTCCCCTAATAGTCCCCATGGCGCTACCATGATTGGCTCAGAACACAGTTTGAGCTCCAGCCCCCCCCTCGGTTCTACCGCTCATGACGACGTGCAACAAAAAAAAAAGAAAGAAAGAAAGCATGTGACAGTGCCGTACCACGATTGACACTCATCCCTGCCACTTAATGAAACCCGGAGGCGTCCCGTGATGCACATCATCAGCGCGGCTGCCGGGCTGAGTGCCGGCGCTGAATCAGCGGTAAAAAGTCTCCACTTTGGCGGCGCTCCCGGCGCGGGGGAACAGCAGAGGTGACACCG